GCCGTCCGGGTAACAACAGTGGAGAAAGATACTCCAGGGGTCTTGATTAGAAAAGAAACCACTGTTCCCAATAGATATTCTCCAGTTTATTGTTAACAAACCCATAAATAAATAAATTCCCACTGACGATTCGGTAGCGGTCGGTACTAACATTCGGCGAGACGGAGTAGGTACGACTACTTTTTGACTCAGGTTGTATGGGATAACGGCGGGATAGGTGAAGTACTGCGAATAGGGATATTGCCGACGCTCTGCCCTCAGACGGACGGATAGGGAGGATGCTGAGAACAGGCGGGATATTGCCGACGCTCTGCCCTCAGACGGACGGATAGGGAGAATGCTGAGAACAGGCGGGATATTGCCGACGCTCTGCTCTCAGACGGACGGATAGGGAGAAAGGAGCCTTGGTAGGATATTGCCGATACCAAGGGGGGAAGGCGGACTTACTTCGTGTTGAGGATATTGCCGATCAACACTACTGAATCTCAGGTGCCGGAGGTCGGCCTTTTATAGCCGGTTTGTGACGTAGATTAACAGTTCGTCGGATGCTAGTACGCAGACCCACAATAAATACAGAGTTCCACGCTTACATTACTAACATATGAAAAGTTAATAGTTCATCGGCTATTTAACGGATAAAATTAAGAAAGGTTCGTTACACACCTCCCTCTCTTCGAAAAAAAAATGAATACATTTTATTTCCTAACAAGGGGCATGCCTGTTATGTGGGTAATCCTTTATTACAGCGCATATACCTCCTTTTACAATTCAACTAAAACAAATAATATGACTTCGGATTATGGAATGAAAAGAAAAACAAATAACTTCTATATCCCCCAAATAATAACTAAAACTGAAAACTTCAACTTCTACGACAAATAAATACACTGTCTCCTCGGTATCACAGGCGCTTGATGCCCTCTAAAGTGTTTCCGGCGGGTGAGCACAGCCGCGGATGGTCCTCCTGGATGGGGTTACGGTCATCCAGCGTTTGCCCTCGGGTGTTCGCAATAGTAGCCGGTACCGACGGTGTCTCGGCCAGTCGGGCGGCCGCAGATTCCGCACCGGCAGGCTTGTCGGTGGGGCTGGGCCGGTCGGGTTCGGTGGAGGCCGTGGAGATGGCATCCGTCGTCCCGGTGTGATTGGCAGCGGAGTGGCGGCCAGTGGGGTCACCAATTCCGGCACAGGTGACGGTGGCGGCGATGGCTCAGGTAACGGGGACGTATCTAGGTTTAGGCAATACGTTGGACTCCCCTCTGGTGGACTGGGTTCGAAGATTTCCGGCAACCTGGCTCTGGAAAAATACCTGTCATTAGTACGCGGGTTTTTTATGGTGGAAATGTCGGTGTTCGGTAAGGGGCGGCGTGACAAAGCGTTTGTCACTTCTTGCATGCTCGGATTCCGAGCACGGAATCTCTGCTTGATAGGATTCGGATTCGGCAATCTGGTAGGCTCTCTTGTTCTATCGGTTACACCCTGAACTTCTTCAGATTCCCTGGATTCTATCTGGATAAATTCAGTAGCTTTCCTCTTTTGGGATTCGGTTAAAGTCGCAACTAGTGCTATGTTGGCGGTGCGGTGTACAATGGCGGTTGTGCGGTTCCCAATATGAACCTTTCTACCTTTCAGGTCGATTGTGCAACCATGGGCGGTGAGAAAATCCATCCCAAGGACCATATCGGTTGTCAAAGACGGTAGCAATAAAAAATCGGCGGTGACTATGGTTGATAATATGGAAACTTCAATGCGGTACTCTTCGGTAATTTCAATAAGTCTTCCATCAGCCAACTCAGCCTTTGTCTGCTGTTTCAACGGCAACTTCTGGATTCCCATGCGCTGGCAGTAAGTAGCAACTTTCTGGCTAATATAGGATCGGACTGATCCTGTATCGACTAACGCAGAATAACTTCTGTCGCCTATGGATACTACTTCACGCAGTCGGTTATCCACACAGACGGAGTCGGTGGCATTAACGGGATAAGAATCGGAATTGTGGCTTCGGTTGGAACTCTCTAATCGGGAATTGATTTGGCTTCCTCGTGGCTCAGTTCTTCGGGGGTTTTCCTGATATGCGGTACATCGGCAATGTCGCGATTGAATTCCCTGTCGTCCACATCGTGAACAAAACGGTTTCGGGGGTTGTCGGCAATTAAATCGGGTGTGTCCTTGTTCTCCACATCTCCAGCATGTAAGATCGTTTCCTTCTCTTGGAGTGCGAACATGGGTCGGCGACGGTCGGTGGCTTATATCACGTCCTGGTGCTTCAGTGATACGCGGTACAGCAGGAGTAGTAGTTCTGGATGTCCCAATCGGCTGAACAGTTTTATTCGGTTTATCGGACTTATCCATATCCCGTTGGATCTGTTCAAATTCGTAGGCCTGCTGTAATAGCTCGGTTACATTGCTAACGGCATTTATGCGGATATATTGTCGGTATTCTGGTCTTAGCCGTCGGTAAATGCATGTTAGTTCTCTTTCTCTAGAGAAACCTCCATGGCATCGTATCATGGTCTGCATATCCAAAATAAAGTCTTTGGCGGTGGTCTGACGGTTCTGGTAGGTTTTACTAATGACCTCCTCCATATTGTCACGGTAATCCGGTGGGTAAAAGAAAATTTTGAAATCTTCAAGGAAATCATAGAAATTTATCCATTGGCTCTTATAATTCATATACCATTGATTTGCTTTGCCCTGCAGTAAACCCGGCAGCGTCCTCAACAGCTGCTGGTCGGTTATGCCATATTCTTCTTGTAATTGTTCAAGTCTCTCTAGGAATGAGACGGGATCGGCTTTTCCATCAAACACAACATTTAATTTTCGGATTTGATTCAGAAGATCAAAGTCAAACGGCGGTTGTGGCGGTCTGATCATCGTTCCCGATGTTGCGGAGGGTGTAGGTTGATTTTTCGGTGGTTCGACTCTCAGATATGCTACTAGTCGGCGTCGTAGCTCGTCTACCGTTCCATCGGTCTGTAAATTCAGTCATCGTAATTCCATTACTAGACCTTCCTTTTTTAGCTTATATATCCAACCTATTTTTGGGTCAGCTATTTCAAGGCCAACGGCACCTTCGTCGCCTTCGGTATTCATTTTGTTGTCAATCTGTTATTATTCGGATCTTTTTCCCTCTTATGGATACCCCTCTATTTTCAGAATTCGAAAATTCTTCGATATGGCAATTTTGGCTACCGTATCTCCTTCGTTAATGATCGGATCTTCTCGGGAGTGGTCGGAAACGCTTTCTTGGCTCAAATTACCTTGATCTAGACACCTCACTCACCTTCGGGTGACTTCGGGAAACTTCGGCAAAGTTCGTCTTTTTGCAGAAAAGTGCGGATTCGGGCTTTAGGAGCTCACAGGAGTCCTCTGGAATACTCGGATTTTCAAAATAAGCTGTAGTTTTGGAGATACGTAAACGACAGCAGTTTCGTGCTCGGTGTGTCCCAAAACCTTCGGAAAATCAGTTTTCTTCAAATCAAATCGGTCCCTGCTCGGGCGCCATTAAATATGTGACGAACTTTCAGTGTGAGACCCGGATGTCCCACAAAAAGTCGCCGTCCGGGTAACAACAGTGGAGAAAGATACTCCAGGGGTCTTGATTAGAAAAGAAACCACTTTTCCCAATAGATGTTCTCCAGTTTATTTTAAACTAACAATTAAATAAATAAATTCCCATTGACAATTCGGTGGCGGTCGGTACTAACATTCGGCGAGACGGAGTAGGCAAGACTACTTTGTTTTTGACTCAGGTTGTACGGGATAACGGCGGGATAGGGGAAGTACTGCGAACAGGCGGGATATTGCCGACGCTCTGCCCTCAGACGGACGGATAGGGAGGATGCTGAGAACAGGCGGGATATTGCCGACGCTCTGCTCCCAGACGGACGGATAGGGAGGATGCTGAGAACAGGCGGGATATTGCCGACGCTCTGCTCCCAGACGGGCGGATAGGGAGGATGCTGAGAACAGGCGGGATATTGCCGACGCTCTGCTCTCAGACGGACGGATAGGGAGAAAGGAGCCTTGGTAGGATATTGCCGATACCAAGGGGGGAAGGCGGACTTACTTCGTGTTGAGGATATTGCCGATCAACACTACTGACTCTCAGTTGCCGGAGGTCGGCCTTTTATAGCCGGTTTGTGACGTAGATTAACAGTTCGTCGGATGCTAGTACGCAGACCCACAATATACAGAGTTCCACGCTGACATTACTAACATATGAAAAGTTAATAGTTCATCGGCTATTTAACGGATAAAATTAAGAAAGGTTCGTTACAATGTATATTTTGACATTATATTTAGGTATCAGATATGCAGTAGGTAAAGAGGTAATGTATATGTTTTCTTAAATGTGTAAATTAAAAAAATGAGGTAAAGGTACTAGTAAATAAGGTTTTTATTTTATTACTTAAAAAGCGCCTTTCCAATTTTAATGATCTTTGTTGTAGTAAATGTACATAGGTACTCTAACTAAAGAATATCTAGATTTTTTTGGTTGGTGTAACATGGAAAAAAATTATAAAAATTATTTTCCATTTTTTAGACCATTGAAAATCATGTAAAAATCTGAAAAAAATTTATAATATTCTCTGAAATATTCCTCAAATATCCGCATCGGTTCCATATTTTTATCTGTTGTAATTTTTGAGAAAAATTAATTTGAAAAATAATAACTTCTGCACTTTGTCTCAAAAATAGTTTGAGAACTGCCGCTAAAAGCAGTATGTATGATGTTTTCATTGTAAGCTAATATCAAAACTTATATTATTTTATACATTAGTCATGGGGTCCATAGTCCATATCACCATGCTTATCCGGCTAGACCCTTTAGTGCATAATTATTTTTTTATTTCAATTAACTTAAAAGGTTATTTCAATAATACTGCAAAAAAGTCTCTGAACTAAAAACAATAATTAAAAACTTTGTTGATCTGTTAGCTTTGTTATTCACACATACACATTTTATAACAATATACTTATTATGTTTATTTTTTAGTATGTTCATCCGACAGATAGTTCTAAGTTGTTGCAAGCAGAGCTGTTAATAATTGATGAAGCGGCAGCTATACCATTACCATGTATTAAAGCTATGTTAGGGCCATATTTAATTTTCTTAGCATCTACAATAAATGGGTATGAAGGAACTGGAAGATCACTGTCTATAAAACTACTGAATCAATTAAGGAAACAAACTTTATCGGTAGGATCAGTTGCAACAGGTGCAATATCTGGACGAAAATTATTTGAAGTAAGTATATAAACTTATTACATTACATTATTTATTTTAGTTTATTACCATTTGGCCAATTAGTCGGTATTAAATACATATTTTTTCTCCAACCGTCACAAAACTATAACATTTTTTGACTGTCAGAAGTCTAAGGTTGACATTTTCCTTACTGAGAAAAAAAAAATGTATTCACTTTTAATCCTTAGATTAATTAACCAATGCCTGAAATGTTACCCAAAATATTAGGAGCTGTTAGAGTGCCAACCACCATGTCTCTTAACATTTAATAAACGACTTCTGAATCTGCAAGCAATAACGCAGATGATCTACGAAAACAATGTCCAGTATATTGTGACGCACTTTTCCTCGGTTCTCTCTTTATGGATCGTTCGGTGTAAATTTTTATTACTTTTAACTATGGTGTGTACACCCCCTGTAATTTAATTTTTCGGAAAGGTTTTATATTCCTCAGACTGGACTGTAAACGATGACGTTAGTTAATAATTTAAATATTCGGTTTTATTCTCGGGCGCCAGTTTCCCTAAATTTGACGTGGGGGAAACTCCACGTATCCCTTACCCTCGGTTTAGAGTAAAGTGCACAGGTAGCTACAGTGAAGAAAATTAATTCCAGGGGTCAATGAATTTCTTTTAGGAGAAAACGGCAGAGAGTTCGGCAGAGAGTAGTTTTCTCAGTGTAGTTTTATTTTAAATATGAAATTTAACGGGAGCTCTACAAAACGATATCAGCGTTTTTGCTGGTTCGGAATGTTATCGTTTTACCTCGACGGTGAAAGAAATAAACCTATTAAGTTTTACTAGATTTATTCACACAGGGAAAATATTAATACTTATTACAAATACATATAGTGTCAATTTTTATTCCTACCCACTACTAAACGACTGAAATTATTTACAAGTTTATTAACAATAATTATATACAAAATCAGTGTGAAAGAGACAAAATTAAAAAGTTATG